GGGAGAGGGGTGCGGGGGGTGGAAAGAGGGGCAGGGGGTGACAGACACAGAGTTCAGAGAGAAGCAGACACAAAAGGACGAGCAGTAGGAAGGAGAGGTAGAGAAAAGAAGACAGAGAAAGACATGCAGCTTGAAATGAATTTGAATTCAGAGACCCCGAAATTTCACATGTGAGGAGAAACGCCCAAGATACAAAGAAAGAGCAGACAGTCAAAGCCCAGTAAAGGGAACAAGCGGAAATAAAATAGGAGCTCTAGCGCAGGCACCCGGCATCACAGAGACACGCCAGCCATCTCAAGCGCAAAGTAACACTGCGGGCTTCAGCTACAGCGTTACACACCGACCATCCAATGACAGCAACCTGAGAGCCACATCTGAAATATTTAACAGGCATGCATGCATTGATCTGGGCTGTTATTTGACACCAGTTTCTTATATTTGTGAGTGTGCGTTGAGCAAACTGCCATTTAATTGCTTGAATGGACTAACAGCAATCATTTCTTGGTCTTAAAAGAGTACTTCAGCTAAAATGGAAAATTCTGTCATGATTTACTCTCCCTCATCAAACATAATTATCTTTCTTCCTCACAATACAATAGACATAGTCAGCATCATATAAAATTTTTGACAGGAATGAAAACGAGGCTGTGAGGGGCAGAAGTACAGTGTGTTTACTGAACAATGGATTGCACTGCTGTTTAAAAACATACAGATTGTTCAGCTGACAAAATGTCTTCACCCCCCCATAAAATGTCTGTCCCTCAAAGCCTCGTTTTCAACAGACTAAGTTGTATACAACATATTAAGAAAAAATGTTTCAGCTGTTAATATTATGAAAATCAATGGCGTCCAAAATGTTCATGACCCAAAAATGACATGACGGTACTGTAGAATGAATCCAGTAGGGATGCACCGATACCGATACTGGTATCGGTATCGGGCCTGATACTGGTCTCCTGTACTCGTACCTGTACTCGATAAAATGCCCCGATACCAAAAACCGATACCACACAGCATGTGATAAGCGCCATATTCAAACAAAGAAACACTGACAACAGAACAACAGACAGCAGAAAGGAGTTAAGGATGTCTACTACAAAGTATATGTATGCAATGAATATAACGTTAAACATTCAGTATTAACGCCTGTATAGCTGGTGTGCGCGAGCTGATAAACAAAGCACGCTGAGTGGATTGAGCGCGCGGCGGCGCAGATGCGCGAGCTTGTCGAGTGAATATATCTTTCTCACAGACATCACTGGAAAGTTTGTAGTTCAGTCGGATATGTCATAAACAAGTAAGTAAAACAATGCACAAGTTACTTAACGGTAGGGAGAGAGAGCGAGAGAGAGACAGAAAGAGAGAGAGAGAGAGAGAGAGAGAGAGAAAGAAAGAGAGTGTGCGCGCATTTCTGTTGTGTGATCTTTGATGTTCACTCACTTAGCACGCGCATCATTTGGATTAAAACGAAATCGTAAAAATAAGACCATTTATAGGGGCATTCACTATAAAC